TTTGGAATTTGTTCGCAACATTTTTGTGAAAAAAAATCGTAATCAAAATATGCTACTTGATAAGGTTTTTCACCTATAAAAACCCTGCTCCGATCTATGCAAAATTAGCAGTTGTATTCGTACAGTAGCACCATGAAATTCTTGATTATTTTCGCTCTGGCCTTGGTCGCCGTCTCCGCCGAGGAGATTTACCAACGTGACATTGTTGTGCCCGTCATTGAGGGTGAGGGTCGTATTACCAATGGCAACACTGCCACCGTTGGTCAATTCCCCTACCAAGTTGGTCTTTCCTTGAAGGTCAGCGCCTTGTCCTCGGCCTGGTGCGGTGGTTCTTTGATTGGAAATCGTTGGGTTTTGACTGCTGCTCACTGTACCGATGGGTATGTATTCGATTTTTTTGGAATATGCCGTCCAAGTATTGAATTATTTTTCTTTTTGTTTAGTATCCAATCCGTCACCGTCTACTTGGGCGCCACCGTCCGTACCTCCGCTGAAGTCACCCACACCGTTGCCAAGAGCGACATCATCATCCACTCTGGCTGGAACAGCAAGACCTTGAAGAACGACATTTCCTTGATCAAGATCCCCTCTGTCTCCTACACCAGCCGCATCCAAGCCGTTAAATTGCCCGCCATTGCCAGCTCTTACTCCACCTATGCCGGTGATTATGCCATCGCCTCCGGTTGGGGCAAGATCTCCGACTCTGCCTCCGGTGTTACCAACAACTTGCAATGGGCCCGTATGCAAATCATCACCAACACTGTCTGTGCCGCCACCTATGGTACATCCATTGTCACTGCCTCCAACATCTGTGTCTCCACTCCCGGTGGTGTTTCTACCTGCAACGGTGATTCTGGCGGCCCATTGGTTTTGGAATCCTCCAAGGTCCAAGTTGGTTTGACTTCCTTCGGTTCGTCGGCCGGTTGCGCCAAGGGTTACCCAGCTGCCTTTACTCGTGTCACCAGCTACTTGGATTGGATCAAGTCCAACACTGGTATCGCTTACTAAGTGGGTTGTTATCGGCAAAATTTTGATTAACGAAACATATAATAAATCTGAATGGTGAATTAAATAAGTTTTTGATTTTTGAGATACCTTTGGGCTCTAAATATGTTTGGGAGCTATCTTAGGTTCTTCGGATTTTATTTAATTTAACCATTGGATATTGGGCTCTGGGAAATATATAAAGCCATGAATTTCCACATTGTGCTTTGAACTAAGAATTAATTGATACCAGGCATACTCAATGCGCTTAATATTCGATTTAGCTGATTTCAAAAATCTGATATTAGAAAGAGGGAGGTACTACAAGGAAAAACCAGATATAGTCCATCTTCAAATTGGACACTAGAGTTGTGTTAATCTACTATCCATAGCTCAGTAAACCAGTTCCTAAACGTATAAGTGATTTCGTAAATTCCATATCACTCATACGCAGAGTTTTCATACAAACGACCGGAGCCCACGGAACTAGATAAAGAACTAGTACGTTCGATCGAAGTAGATTGGCACAACTCTAACTGGAGACAATATGAGCGGGAATATTAAAATGTGCCAAGTTGGCAGAAAATCGGACACCAAGCTCATTTTTGAGAACTATGATTTTTCAACAAATTTAGGGAGGTATGAGAAGGAGTGAACTTGATACAAATATAACGATTCATGTAGTATGCACTCAATCGGATACTAACTTCGCTTTTTATTAGGTGATCGTTCTCTGGAAATGTTGGAACTTTTGTTCCAGAAGAAGTGGACCGATATATTCTATTGTAACATTAGATCTGACATGGGCATAATATGGAGATGTACAAAAAATTATTTTTCAGAGATTTTTTAATTTTTTTCCTCGAAGTAGGAAGTGCGAAAGAGAGTGAACTAATATTGATTATTTGCGAAAATGACATGGGCGTGAACTTTGAAAAAAAAAATCGGACACTGACTCATTTTTTTATGCATATTCTTGTTTGAAATTTTAGGAGTGAGCTGATATTGTCCGTTATTAGCGGGATTCAAATATTACATCACTTTGATATTTATAGTGGTGGTGCCAGATGAACTGGACGGACCTGTTTTCCATATTGACAGAAATTTCAATTTTCCTAAGAGTTATTACTATTCCAAGTGTACACCTTTTGTAGAGGAAGTGCAAGAAGGAACGTACTGAAATATCCCATAGCCGGGACGCAAAGAAGTTGGCGGTGAAACCCTCAAAAAACGGCTACTTTTTTCTTTTTTTTTTTTTTGTAAATTTTGTATGGAAAACTTCATTTTTTGCTAGTTAGGCCCCTTTGGCTTAGTTTCGATATGAATTTCCATTTTCGGGGACAAACATATGGATCTGGTGTGAACTCTGTTGTAGGATTGGTATTATTATGGCTACTAAAAATGTTTAGGGAGATACTAGAGGAACTGAGACGCAACGTTTAAGATTTTTGCACCTAGCCAATACTCCGATGTTCGAAACTTCAATTAAATCGGATACTCCTTTTAATTTCTATGAGATTTACGATTTTGTTTCTTTTGAAAAATTTTTTTTTTCTTTTTTTTTCTTTTTTTTTTTTTGGGGGGGGGGGGGAATGCCAGGATGAGGAACCACTGTATATCATTTTTACTTCAAATCTAGTGGCGATATTATTATTGTAATACGGAAATCAATTCGCATTTTGTCGTAGTTAAGTTGATTTCAAATTTGTATCCTGTGTGTTTCAGGTGTCAGAAGAAGTGGACCGATTATCTCATATCGTTTTAGGTGGATAACATAATACAAGATGCGAAGTTTCAACTAAATACGATTCTAACTACGCTTTATAAAAAATTTGTGCTTTAAAATAGAAAAAAAATCCTTTTGATCTTTTGCGAGGGGAGGTGTGGATGCAATTTGGCAGAAGAATTACTGTGCGAAATGTGGGCCAAATCGGATACCTCCTTCTAGAGTTTTCGTGTGTAACAACCGCCTGGGTAGATAGATCGATTCCAAATGCCATGAGACGTATGAACTACAGCAAAATACTATTTTTTAGTACGGTGTCTACATACTTTTCGCTAAAATCATACGTTGGTAAGCTCTGGTCGAATATACTGACATTCCTTAAAAAGTATAATTTTCTGTTATGAATAAAAAGATAGAAACAAATTCTTTATAATGAACATTTTTAACTTAAAAATGTGTGTCTCTTCAGGCGCCAAGTATTGCGAAATCTCAGCCGTATTTAACCCCCATTCATAACTTATGAGAAGTAAAGTTGATTCCAATCGAGTGGAGATATTTGTATTGTTTAGGGTCATAATCATCCTTTATTGCAAAGTTGTTAAATCTTGTGATTCCTGAAAACCTCACTTCAAAAAAAATCAATTTTTGAATAAAAAATTGATTGAGTGTCGTCAAATGTTTCGGAGTTCTTGAAATTTGAACAAACATATACAGAAATATTCCATTGTAACAATATAGGCTTTTTGAGTATTTGATAATGTTCTTATCAATTGAATTCAGCCAATTGATAATTGATTTGAAGTTTTCCTAATTAAATGTTATGTTTTTCAATAGGGCAGAGCATGCTTTTAGGCTTCTGTTATTTTCTTCTTAAATAACAATATTAAAGGTAACACAGGCATTCATTTTTATACCCTACACCACAAGGTGGTCAGGGTATTATGTCTTTGTGCATTTGTTTGTAACAGGCAAAAGGAAACGAGATAGACACATAGTTCCTTTTGATGATCTGCATAGAATCACATTCTGAGTCGATTTAAGCATGTCCGTCCGTCTGCCGTCCGTCCGTCTGTCCATGTATTTTTGAAATTTTGCACAAATCATTTGTTTGGCCCAAGGACGAACCCCATTGAAATTGGGAGATAATCGGTAAAAATTTAGATATAGATCCCATATATATCTTCGTCCGATTTTCCTTTTATTGTGCACCAAACGTGTAATATCAGTCCGAATAGTATGGAATTTTGCACGTATGATCAGATTGGACCTGAAAATAAGTATGCCAAATTTGATCGAAATCGGTTCAGATATGGCTATAGCTCCCATATATATTGTTCATCCGATTTTTTATTTTTGTCCTCCGCAGCCGTAATATCCACTCTGTAACAACAATATTTGGGGAAATATATCAAATACAGCTCAGAATTACATTTGCTAAATTTTATCGAGATCGGTTCAGATTTGGATATAGCTCCCATACATAACTTCGTCCGATTTACCTTTGGTTGTGCACCAAACGTCTAATATTTGCCCAATTTGGATGAAATTTGGCACCGAATTGAGTCTAGAAGCTAGTATGTCAAATTTGGTGAAGATCGGTTCAGATATAGCTATAGCTCCCATATATACTGTTCATCCGATTTGTCATATTTGTTACCCACAGCCGTAATATGCACTCCGTAACAACGATATTCAGGGAAATATATCAAATACAGCTCAGAAATATCTTTGCTAAATTTTATCGAGATCGGTTCCAATTTGGATTTAGCTCCCATATATATTTTTATCCGATTTCAAATTAATTGTGCACCAAATGGGCAATACAAGTTCGAATTTAAAAGATACAAATGCTTCGGCATATTTAGCCCGTTGATCTTTAATTAATAATTATAATCATAGCGTGTATGATTGAATTCTCCCATAAAAACTTTTAATTGTTATGCGCAGCTCTACTAAATTAGCAAAGTGGTGTAGGGTATCATAAAGTCGGCCCCGTCCGACTTTCAGGCTTTCTCTACTGGTTTTATTCTGAATAAAGAATAGAACTGAAATCCTGAAATTTGATATAGATGTCAGATATGGAAGTTCTGAGTTTATAAAAAAAAAAAGATTTCAGTGCCCACTCAGTGAATAAAGAATATATGTATATTTTTTTTAATTTTGTAATTTTTGTTGTTGCTGTAGTTCCTCCTTTGTTGTAACTGAATGACTAATGTAATTCATCGACAATTTTTAATTATTAATAACAACAAGAAAAAACAAAAGTATTGTATGGAGAGACATGACTTACCTCAATTTGGCGGCATATTCTGTTTCTATCGCTAAACGGTCACGTATAAAATTTGCATATTTGTCCAAGAATTCAATGCCTTTGTTTGTGTGTATGGCTAAATTGTCGTACTGATCCTGTAAATGGAAGACAAAAGAAACAAAAAAAAAACAATGATGATTAATATGCAAAAAAAAAATAATTAAATGGAAAAAAATATAAAATTTTACTTTCAATGTGAATTGCGCACGATAATGCAAGATATGGCTGAGACCTATAAATAATTGTAGAGATATACTTTTCTGGGATGGGAATAAATCCAATAAAAACTAAAAGTTAAAAAAGTATCAATCGGTTTAGCCGACAGATGTATACTCTCAGCTAATGTTCGATTATTTAAATATGTTTTGACTTGCGTCATGATTATTCAAATTATTGACCCTCTATGGAATAGGTTCCGAAGGAATGGGCCAATATTGTCCATTTCGTATCGGGCCTAAATAAATATGATATAAATATTCCGATGTGTCAGTTTTCGACTATATTGGTTACATCCTTAACTCCATATGAGATATGTGATAATTTTTAGAAAATGTTAAAAAGTGCGCGAGGTACCAAAAATAGTCCGCCGAAGTATTCCATTTTTATACTTCATCTAATTCAGATAAAAATATTGGTGTGGGCAAAATAACAAGATAATCGAACATTTGTATCCAATTTCATGCGAAATAATAAATTCCATATTCATCGCAGGTTTCGGGTTGAGAGAAATATTTGGATATAGCAATTTGTAAAGAATCGCCGACTTGTTTCGCAATACATGACAGGTGAAAGTATTGAAAATTGTGACCCTTTGTGTGTGAGCTACCAGAAGGGGTTTGTAGATATATATGATCTTCACAACAGATCTCGTATTAAATTTGAAGAGTGTTGGATGCTTATTTCGCTTTCTTTTAGCGTTTTGTTTTTTAAAATCTTGAATCCTATGTGGGTGCGGTATTAGAAGAAATTTCGGATTTTACGATCGGTTTGGTTATTCAAAACTTTGACACTTTGTGGGATAGGTGCCAGAAGAAATGGTCCGATCTCTACCATTTTTGTGTTGATGGAAATACTGAGAATGGAATCAGATTTTAATTTCGCTCTGTATGAGCTTCAGGGATATTCAAAATTTTGACCCTTTGTGGGGGAGGTACCAGAAGGAGTGGACCGATATATCCCATCTTCACAGCAGAGCTTGTTTTAGTAGAAATAATGGGATGTGTGAAATATGATGAGAACCCGATGCTTATTTCGGATTTTATAATCGTTCTGGGGGAGGTACCAGAAGAAATGACCCGATCTCTACCATCTTTATAACAGATCTTGCATTAATAGAAATATTGAGTTGTGCCAAGTCTGAATGGAATCGGATGTTAATTTCGCATTTTATGAGCTTCATGGATATTCAAAATGTTGACCCTTTGTGAGGGAGGTGCCAGAAGGAGTGTACGGATATATCCCATCTTCGCAGCAGATCTTGTGTTAGTATAAATAATGGGATGTGTGAAATATGAAGAGAACCGGATGTCTATTTCGGATTTTATAGTCGTTATTCGTTATTCAAAACTTTGACCCATTGTGGGGAAGGTACCAGAAGGAATGGTCCGATCTGTACCATCTTTATAACAGGTCTTGTGTTGATGGAAATATTGCGATGTGCCAAGTCTGAATGGAATCAGATATCAATTTCGCGTTTTATGAGCTTCATGGATATTCAAAATGTTGACCCTTTGTGGGGGAGGTACCAAAAGGAATGGTTCGATCTCTGCCATCGTTATAACAGATCTTGTACTGATAGAAATATTGAGATGTGCCAAGTCTGAATGGAATCGGATATCAATTTCGCTCTTTATGGGCTTCAGGGATATTCAAAATGTTGACCCTTTGTGGGGGAGATACCAGAAGGAATGGTTCGATCTTTACCATCTTTATAACCGGTCTTGTGTTGATCGAAATATTGCGATGTGCTAAGTCTGAATGGAATCGGATATCAATTTCGCTCTTTATGGGCTTCAGGGATATTCAAAATGTTGACCCTTTGTGGGGGAGATACCAGAAGGAATGGTTCGATCTTTACCATCTTTATAACCGGTCTTGTGTTGATCGAAATATTGCGATGTGCCAAGTCTGAATGGAATCGGATATCAATTTCGCTCTTTATGAGCTTCAGGGATTTTCAAAATTTTGACCCTTTGTGGGGGAGGTACCAAAAGGAAAGGTCCGATCTCTACCATCGTTATAACAGATCTTGTGTTGATGGAAATATTGCGATGTTATAAGTCTGAATGAAGTCGGATGTTAATTTCGCTCTTTATGAGCTTCAGGGATATTCAAAACTTTGACCCTTTTTGGGGGAGGTACCAGAAGGTATGGTCCGATCTCTACCATCTTTAGAAACAGGTCTTGTGTTGATGGAAATATTGCGATGTGCCAAGTCTGAATGGAATCGGATATCAATTTCGCTCTTTATGGATATTCAAAATTCAGGGATATTCAAAATGTTGATCCTATTGTGGGGGAGGTACCAGAAGGAATGGTCCGATCTCTGCCATCTTTATAGCAGATCTTGTATTGATAGAAATATTGCGATGTGCCAAGTCTGAATGGAATCGGATGTTAATTTCGCAATTTATGAGCTTCACGGATATACAAAATGTTGACCTTTTGTGAGGGAGGTACCAGAAGGAGTGGACTGATATATTCCATCTTCTCACCAGACCTTGTGATAATAATAATATTGGGATGTGTGAAATTTGAAGACAATCGGGCCCTTACAACACATTTTATAAGAGTTGTAATTATTCAAAATTTTGACCCTGTATGGGAGAGGTACTTGATGAAGTGGACCGATATTCTCCATTTTCGCACCTGACCTAGCACTGATGCAAATATAAGGATTTGCAAAGTTGGAGCAAAATAGTTTCCCTTTCTGTGCACAAAATATATTTTTTGAAAATTTTGACCTTTTGTGGGGGAGGTACCAGAAGGAGTGGAGCGTTATATTCCATTTTAACACCAGACCTTCGTTTAATAAAAAAATATTGGGATGTGTCTAATTTGAAGACAATCAGATTCTTATATCACATTTTATAATCGTTGTAATTATTCAAAATTTTGACCCCTTGCGTGGGAGGTACTTGATAGAGTGGGCCGATATTGTCCATTTTCGCATCTGACCTAGCACTGATGCAAATATTAAGATTTGCAAAGTTGGGGCAAAATCGGATTATCCTTACTGTTTCTACGCTGTAAAGTATTTTTTTTTTTTAACTTCGATCTTTTATGGGTTAGGAGGAATGGACCGATATTGCCCATCTCCGAACTTGATCTAAGTTTGATAACAATATTACGATGAACCAAATCGGACACTCCCTTCAAGAGTGCGCACCAGCCAGCCAGACAGACGGAAGGAAATGTCCTGAAAGGATTTGGTCCAATAAGATCTATTTAGAGTCTAAAACCTTTATTTCGATGAGGCACATTTTGGCCGTATCAAATGATATATACCCTCTGTAGCCATAAAATTATTATAACCCTCTGTAGTCATAATTAGTTACTGGTAGCAAAATGTACTAATTAACCCATTATTTGGTAATGAGAATCTTGACTTGGGTCTTTGTAAGTAATCACTGATACTGGAATGGCTTACCATTATTTGGTAATGATATTTTTGGCTAGTAAAAAAAAAGTTAATTTCCAACACCCCATATACCAAATATTTTCTCTTCCGATTCCAGATTTGAAATATCTGCAGCCAGCTTCTTGTCAAATGACTCATTTGATTTCCATTTATTTTTAATTTTTCCATAAATTTATAACATTAATTGATCATCATCAGCTCCCACGAGCGGTTGGCAGGCAGACTGTCTATCTGTTGCTAAATTTGAAAAGAAACACACTTCTTGTTTCCAAATGAAAACATTGTAGTATAGAGCAGAACGATTAAAAAAAAAAGACACGAAAGATGGAAATAGAAAAAGCAATTCGCAGATATTGACGTAAAATTCTTTGAAATGCGCTGTTTGGGAAAATTCATTTTGAAATGTTTTTTTTTTTTTTTTTTCATGAGAGGAAAACACTTGTGATGGTCGGCCAATCAGCCAGCCATTCTTCAATCAAATGATAAGGGTGGGTGGTTGGCTGTTTGTGTTTGGCTGCTGTGATTTATATTATTTATAACTTTGGAAATTTTCTTTGTGAAATTTGCAATTCCTATAAACACAAGAAGTGAAGTGAAATGAAAGATTTTTTCTTTTAATTAAAACAATTTAATTTGCTCTAAATCCAGAGGCACTTGATCGATAATTTTCAAGGTCTTTCAGAGAAATGGAAGAGAAGAAACAAAAATTAAGAAACACTTTTGATGAGTTTCTCGGTAGATTGCGAACGTTTATATGAGATTTTCAAGTTTAGTTTTCCAAATTGTCTACTACAGGATGAGATAAAAAAACTGCAACAAAACCAAACGCCAAAATTTTTACTTTTTTTTAAATTTTATTGAATGAAAGCAAAAAATGTCGGAAATAGCATCACATTTTAGAAAAAGTTTAGATTTGTTCAAATTGGTCACCTTTGACACGAATTATGGCCTTTAAGCGGCCAAATGGAACCGTCACATGCTGCCCGAATGTTGCTCTGCGGTATTTTGGTCCATTCCCGGCGAAGCGCTTGCTGGAGGTTATCGACACCTTGTTAGTTTTTAGTGCCAACCCTGCTTTCCAAAATACTTCAGACACAATAGTCTAACGGATTGGTATCCGAAGATTTTGGTGGCCATTGTGCGATGGAAATGAAGCGAGAAACCTCATATTGTAACCATTCTTGGTTGGTGAGTGCGATGGTGCCTGGAGTCCTGCTGGAATTTCCAAGGTCTGCGGCCAAAATGTCTGCGTGTCCAAGGCTTTAATACACCCTCCGGAATATTTTCGCGATAATATTCGGCATTTATTCTGATGCTTCGGTCTGGACAACGAATACAAACTGCTGGACAACGAATGCTTTTTCATCGGAGACGGAGAAAACCAAATTCGGCAGTTCACCACTATCGGCCAAGCGAAGCAACTCTTTAGCTCTTTTGAGTCTATCTTCTTTCTGT